GTTTGTGAGGCTACCAGTTGAGTATTGTAACTTTCAATTATTGAACTTCTGTTGGCTTTCCAGACTTTTGAAGGTTAAATTGTCATAAGCTTCTTCATCCATCTCTGATACCCATTTTTCTAAGACAGGCGCCATGACCACTTGGAGGCCTAGATGGGGAGATCAAGTATCCACAGCAGCCTCCCCTGCTGGTACTGACACTACCTCTCTCCTCACCCAGAGGTCAAATGAAATGAAGTCAACAAGTATTATTAAGCATCTATTATTTTCCAGGGTAAGCACTGGGCATACAAAGAGAGGTAAAAAAAAATAGCCCTTGCCCTCAAGAAACTTACAGACTAACAGGGAGGCAACAAGCAAACAACTATGTACAAGCAAGATCTATACAGGGTAAATTGGAGATAATCTCAGAGGAAAGATACTAGCATTAAGAAGCATAAGGAAAAGCTCCTTGAAAAAAGTGGGATTTTAGCTGAGACTTGAAGGAAGCCAGGGAAGCTAGAAAGCAAAGATGAGAAGGGTGTAAATTCCAGGCATGAAGCATAGCCAGTGAAAATGTCCAGAGTTAAGAGAGGGAGTGTTACACAGCAATGCAAGGATCCAAAACAATTCGAAAAGACTCATGATGGAAAATGCTATCCACATTCAGAGAAAGAACTATGGACTCTGAATGCAAATGGAAACATACTATTTGCTCTCCTTTTCCTTTGTTGTTTTGTTTTATTGCTTCATTCTCATGGTTCCTCCCATTAGTCCTAATTGTTCTTTACATCATGACTAATAGGAAAATATGCTTAACATGAATGTATAAGTAGAACCTATATTAGAATGCATGCCATCTTGGGGGGGAGGAGTGAGACGGGAAGAAAATTAAAAACTCAAAATCTTATGGAAGTGAATGTTGAAAACTCAAAATAAATTAATTATCAAGAAAAAAATGAAAAATAAAATAAAAAGAGAGGAAGTGCCTTGTTTGAGGAGCAGCAAAAAGGTCGATGTCACTGAATCACAGAGTACATGGAGAGGAGTAATGTCCAATGAAGATGAAAAGATAAGTTGTAGGCAGGTTATAAAAAAGCTTTAAAGGACAAACAGAATTTTATATTTGATCCTGTGGGTATTAGGGAGCCACTGGAACTTATTGAATAGGGCAGTGACATGGTCAGACCTCTTCAGTAAGATCACTCTGATAAGAAGATCACTCTGATCTAATAGAGGATGGATTGGAGTGGGGAGAGACTTTAGGAAGGGACACCAACCAGAAGTCTATTGCATTAGTCCAGGTATGAGGTGATGACAGCCTGTACTGGGGTGTTGGCCATATATGAGAAGAAAAGGGATCATATACATGAGAACAATGAAAGCAGAATTGACAACACTTAGAAATAGATTGGATATAGGCAGGGGGAGAGATTGAAGACTCTAGGATGGCAGTTTGACTATGAGGTGAGCCTGGGTAACTGGGGAAGATGGTGGTGCTCTTGATAGTAATTGGGAAGTTAGGAAGAGAAGAGAGTTTGGAGAAAAAGACAATGAGTTCAGTTTTGGATTGGTTGAGTTTGAGATGTTGATGGAACACCCCATCTGAGATGTCTATTAGGCAGTTAGAGATGTGAGGCTGGAAGTCAGGAAAGAAGTTAAGGCTGAACAAATAGACTGAAGGATCATCTTCATAGGTGGAATAAGTGAATTTATAGGAGCTGATGAGAAATTATAGTATGTGAATAGTATATGAAATAGTCTGGAGGGAGAAGAGAAGAAGGATTAAGACACTAATGGTTAGCAGACTTGATCTGGATGAAGATCCAGCAAAAGAGACTAAAAAAGGAGTGGTCAACCAGGTAGATAAAGAACTAGAACACAGCAGTCATGAAAATCTAGATAGAAGTGAGTATCCTTCTCTCTGGAAAAGAGGATGATCAGCATTTTCAGAGTCACCTTTCAGAAGTCAAGAAAAATAAGAATTTTTAAAAGGCTATTAATTTGGCGATTAAGGAATCATTGATAGCTTTGGAGAAAGTAGTTTCAATTAGATGATGAATTTGGAAACCAGATCATAAAGAGTTAAGAAGAGAGTAAGAAGAAAGGAATTGGAGACACCAGTTGTAGACAGTCTTCATAAGGAGTTAACCATGAAAGGGGGAAAGATACAGGATGACATCAAATGAGGATTTCTTCCTCCTTACTTGAAAGTTGCCATTGAAAGAAAGAGAGATTTTGGTCATGCCTTTTGTATGCTCACTCAGTTCTGCCTCAGTAGCCAATTAAGAAGCTTTTCAGGATCATATGGTAAGTCAAACAGTCCCAGGATACCTACACATGTTCTGAATTGCAGAGGGAAAAGCACGTCCATCACACACTTCCAAAAGCAGGCTAAATTTCCACATTGATGTGCAGAAGGCACAGCATACCATGCATGTTCTAAGGACTGGGCAAGCTTAGTTCCACCCCAACCCCATCTATACAAATTTGAATAAATATTTAGGTTTAGAATGTTTCGTGATGCAATTTGTCTGGTGACTAAATTATCTCTGAGCCTTTTATACTCAGCTCTAATCAAGGATATACTTGCCTTGATATGAAGCCTGGCTCATATCACACCATATAAATCGCTCCTCTGAGGCCATCTTTTTATTGTTGTTATGCTCTAACTAAATTAAACCACAAAGGCAGCCTTTACCAGAGAAATAAGGGAAGGTGGCACAAATGAGCAGTCCTCAGCCTGAGGGATATTTGGGTAAAGGAGAGAAGGCTGACAAGGTTATCAAGTGATATGAAGGCTACATGACATATTGAAAGAAGTCCTAAGTTTAGGGCAGAAGAGACTCTGGGTTTGAATCTCAGATCCGTTACCTTGGGCAAGTAACTTCACTTCTCCTTCTTTGGGCCTCAGTTACCCTAACTATAAAATGAGGAGGTTAGGCTAAATGACATCTAAAATCCCAACCAGTTCTGAATCTCAAGATTTTGTATGTTCAATTGCTACCCTTTGCTTTTCCTAGTCTATTGCGAGCTTTGTGTTTCTCTGCCAATACTTTTTGGAATGGCTAGGAGATGATTACAACCCATCTCTACATAAACCCTGAAAACTGAGCTAAATATTTTAAAATCCTCAGGTCTTATTCTTGGTTTTGTTGTGTGTTTCTAAGGATTCACATTGTGTTTTAAATGTTAAGTCTAGTAGATTGCTACACATTCTTTAGCAAGATTGAACCAAACCCTCAGAGACATGCTTATTCATTTATTCATTAAATTCATTCAATTGAAATGCAGGCATAGTAAAAAGGGGAAAAGAAAAAAAATATTTATATAGCACCTACTATGTGTCAGGCACTGTGCTACATACCTGACAAATTTTATCTCATTTGGTACTCACAACAACCCTTCATGGTAGGTGCAATTATAATCCTCATTTTTACAGTTGAGGAAACTGAGGCAAACAGAGGTTAAGTGACTTGCCCAGAGTTACCCGGCTAATGTCTGAGGCTGGACTCGAACTCACGTCTTTACGATTCCAGGACTGGTATTCTATTCACTGAGCCACTTTGCAGCTTCTATTTATTAAGCACCTATTGTACTTACACAGAGCACCAAGCCAAGCAATGGGAGAGAAAAAAAAATTAGAGAAAACATGGCTACTGCCTTAATGTAGGGTGAAAAACACAATTACAAAGAGTATACAATACCACACTTAGCTACAAAACAAAGTTCTAGGTGAGGGAAGGCTGTTACCATATTGGATGTTCAGGGAAGGCTCCCTAAAGTGATGGCATTGGAACTGGGTCTTCTACTACATTCAATGGATACTTATTAAGAAAGTACTGTGCTAGGTCATGGGGTTACAAAGAAAAAAGGAAGAAGAAAAGAGAGAAGGAGGAAGGAAGAAGGAAGAAGGAAAAAAAGAAGGAAAGGAGAGAGAGAAATAAAGAGACAGAGAAAAAGAAAGGAAGGAAAGAAAGAAAATCCCTCCCTTCAAAGATATTCTAGCATATAAGTATAGAATAGAAATGTGTATAGTGCCAGTAAAACTGAGGATGGAAGAAATACTGACAAGTTGGGAGATACGAGGTTTCTGGGAGGAGGTTGCACCCACGCTGAGCCTTGAAAAAAGACAAGTATTCTGCCAAGTAGAAATAAACAGGTAGTAAGTACATTCCAGGCCTACGGCACAGTGTGTTATTAAGAAAGTGCTGTGCAAGGTCATGGGGTTACAAATTATTACAAATTTGTAATTACAAAGTTGAGTACCTGAGAAGATGAGTTCCGCCAAAGAAAACTGAGAAATTTGCAAGATGGGAAGTTGATGATACTGGATTTCAGGAGAGAATTAGGACTCGAAGGTTAGGATTTAGAAATAAGTAAGGAGTGGGGAGAAAGGAATGGGTTAAGGTTCTGGTGGTAGAAGAACTTGGGAGTTTACAAGCGGTCGTGTTCCACCTTCTGTCTCTACGCTATGGACAGCTACAGGCAAACCGGTACAATCCTGTTGCGGTTAAGCTTCCCCATTGTTTCAAGTTTTTCGCCACTTCTTTTCCTGTCCCCCGCCCTCAATAGACTACTGACGACACTAAAAGACATGCAAAGTGGACCAGGGTTAACTGAGCATTAAACTGAGCATTAAAGTTTAGATCATTCAACTAGTGGCTTCCTCTCCGAATCTCCAACTAACCCGTTTTGTCTAATTCTCGAAGCCCAGGTTCGAGTTCGCCTTCCTCTAGTCTGGTACCAAGAAGCACTGGTGTGTGTGCATGGGGAGAATAGGAGAAAATCCAAGGGAAAGGGGGAAAGGATTTTTACACTTGTTGATAGTTTGATTGGCAGGTGAGTTTAGCAGGGAGAGTGAGGACGGGGGTGGTCTTTGAACTATGGACGCAGATTTGGGGTTGAGATAGGAGGGGAGGGAATGAGAGGTGGTGGCTGTGGCACCACCTCCCTCTTACTAAACCCACTTCTCCTCCCCCAGCGCTTGGAGTATCAGCGGGCGGAGCAGTTTCTGAGCCCTTTAGAGCAGTTATATATAAGGCCGAGGAGCTCGGAGCCCAAGAGACCTTGTGGATAGAAACTTGAGCCAGAGGTCAGAGGCACACACAGAAATAGCCACGTTGGGTGGGTGAGCGTGCACCATGAGCAGCAAATATGATGTGATCGTGGTGGGCGGAGGAATCTCAGGTCAGTCCAGCCGGGGTTTTTGCCCGTTCTATTATTCCCACGCTCCCTTTTGGCTCTGACTCAGAGGCTGAGCTTCAGTCTAACCTGCTGAAAGGAGGAATGGAGAAATGGACCGGGAGGAAGGGAGGAGGATGAGAGGGTGAAGATTGAGGGATTGCCCTAGGGATTTTTTCAATTTTTTTCAGCGACTCTGGCGAGTCAAGGTACTGATTTTAAAAATCCAGTGACTGCGGCACAGCTGGAGGAGGATTCGGGAAGCTCCTTTCTAACTCTCGAGACCCCAGATCCTGTGACTTGATCTCGCTGTGTCCCACTCTTCTCTCCAGCTCCTAGGAAAAACTAATTAGGTCATTCAGGAATTAGGCAGCAGGAGCTCAAAGTCTTAAATGCAAAGTCTTCTGGCCAGAGCTTTTGCCAACTCCTTTAGTGCTAGTGAGTGTGAAGAATAACGCGACTCCGATACCCTCCAGGCCCAGCTAGAAACAGATAAATCAGCTGGTATCTCACCCTGTGCTCCACTTTCCTCCTTGCCACCAAACGGTGGCAGCTCCATCTTAGATTGCGGCCCCTGAATTTTAATGGGAGAGGGAAGGAGGCAAACCATATTGCCTCCTGTCAACAGTGACTGCGGGGTTTGGGCGGGTGGGGGTGGTGGTGGTGAGAGGAGCTGCGGGGAATTAGGGTTACAGGCCAAATTTTTGTATTCCTGGTTTGCTCTGGTTGTTTGTAGATAAAGATAGTTTGGGGGTGAAAGAGGGAGCAGAGAGACTAGTAGATTCAAAGTTGTCACACTAGGAGCAAATCTGCAAGTATGCATAAATATGCTGAGATGATTGTAGTGAGAAGCTGTGTGATTTAGTGGAATGGTGGAGAGGTGTGTATTTAGTACAGAGAACACTCAACTTGGAGTCAAAAAGATCTGGATTTGAGTCCCAGTTTGAGTCCCTGTAACGGCTTTGAAACTCAGTTTCTCCATCTTTGAAATGAGGTTAATAATAGCAGGCTTATCTTCCTCATAGGTATATTGTGATGATAAAATGCATGTGAAAGTCTCTTGTCATCAGACTTAGGCAATATCATTGCTCAGATCTGGTTTGTCAGTTCTTGTGTTTCTTGTGTTATTTATGCAACCTGACTCAGAAACAAAACTCCCGGCAAAGGATTAAATTAAACCTTTGAATGAGATAAGTGCAAAATGAGAGCACTGTAAAAATCTTAGAATTTTACTAAATGACCATCCAATTCAGCAAACCTATTAAACATTTATTGTATTCAAAACATTGTTGGGTAGGGGTGTAGATACAAAGTTCAAATAAAACACTGTCCTTGAATTTAGGCTAATGGATGTATTGGCCTTAAATACTGATAATTATGCAATACATATCACCTGATAAGAGTACTAAAGAGGTTCAAGACAAAGTTCAGTGTAAGGTCCCAAGGGGGAGGTCCTTTCAGTCAATCAGTAAACATTTTTAACAGCTTACTGTGTGAACTGTTGTGCTATGCGCTGGTGGGGGGCACTCAGCTGAAAGCTTTAAGGGGACACCGAGGTCATAGTGTTCAAGGTACTTTTCACTCTAAAGTTTGTAGTTAAGGAGCATAATGACAATCTGAGGCACTCTACTTTTTAAGGGTATTCCTTCCCTGCATCTCTTTCAGAAGGTTTTTTTTCTAGTCAACTTGAAAGAATTTTGTTACTCAGGAAACTTGGGAGGGTTTCATTCCCAAGAACAGCAAACTGCCTTGCTTAGCCTGTATTTGGCAGCAGTCCAAAAGATTTTTTCTGTGATGCTCAGTGATGGAGTTAGCAGACAGAATGTAAAAAATAGGGAGAATAGGAAACAGTCTGGGGGAAAGGGGGAAGGAATTGTCACACTTGTTGGTAGTTTGATTGGCAGGTGAGTTTAGCAGGCTTTACAAGAGTTTTTAAATGCCAGGCAAATGAGTTTTAACTTTACTTGGTAGGAAAAAAAAAAAAGAAAACTTTGGAGGAAGATGGTTATAGCCCTCGAAATGAAGGTGCTGCATTCTAAATTGCCTCCTCTTTGGGACTGTAGTCAATCCTAGGGCCCTGGTTCAAATTGAAGCAGGAATCCCTGAAATCAGGGATGACTCATATTAAACACCTGTGTTGGAAGAATTGGCAGACTAGCAGAGGTAATGTTCCTCAGAAGGAAGGACCAGGAAAGGCTTCTTGAAGAAGATGGGATTTCACACAAGAGTTGAAGGAAGCCTGGAGGCAGAGGAGAGGAAGGAGAGGATTCCAGGCATGGGGGACAGCAGCCAATGAAAAGGCTCAGATCAGAATGACATGTTGTGTCTGAGGAACAGAAAGGAGGACAGTGTCACTGGATCACAGAGTACACAAAGGAGAGTAGATTTTAAGAAGACTGGAAAAGTAGAAAGGGATCAGGTGGTGAAAGGTTTTAAAAGCCAAACAGATGATTTGATATGTGATTTCGGGAAGCAACTGGAGTAAGGAGGGGCCATAGTCAAACTTGCTCTTTAGGAATATAGCCTTTGGTTCAACCGAACCAAACCAGCCTCCAACCTGTAGATGATGGGAGCCCCACAGAGCAGGTGAGAGACAGGAGAATTAGGAATCTAACAAAAATTAATTTCAAAGTGAGGGAAATGGCTTGCAAACAAAGAGGGCGTCTAGACGCCTTACCCCTAGTGTGGGGGGGGACCTGAGGAAATGTAGGGAGATCTCAGTACTTAATACCAATGGCTAACGAATTGAGCTGTAGCCCTGACAATGATGGGTAACAGCAACAATGAAACAAGTTTGATTCATAGCAGTGCTTTATGACCAGAACATGGTGCTTGTCCAGAGCTTGGCTGAGCTCAGAAAACACCTGGTCATGGTCAAAACAATACAATAATGAAGTGATTTTGCCAGAGGGTAAGCACAAAGGATTGTTGTTATGCCAAGCTCAGGGCATGGCTTGCTTTCTGGGGCTTAACTCTGGAAAACAGTGTGTCTCCTAATATCTTGACATTAGTATCACCTGAGTGTTGCATCTGAGTACATAGCATCTCTTGATCATTGTTCCCTGGTACTAGCTTCTAGACTCATCCCTTCTGGGCTATCCAATCTATTTCTGCTCCAGTCTTCTAGGGTGTAGAAGCTAGCCCCTCTCCCTGATAGGCAGGCTAATCTTCAGTCATAGCTACTACAACTAATAGAAGACAGAATTCAGACTAAAAGCTTTTTTACCCATAGACTGGAGAACAAAGCCCTGTGTTCCAGATAATTATCTAATTTAGGATTATCTATTTCCGGTTTTCTGATGAAAGCGAATTGAGACAAAACAGAAGGTAAGATAAGGAGGCAAGGGCATTGTTTTCTATCTACCTAGGATCAGCCCTACCTTTATTCTGATTATCTTTCACCAGGAAAGTCTGGTTGTTTTGATGCTCCCTATGTTTGCAGTTGGGTTTCTGCCCCATCCCTTCCATACTAAAAAACTGCAGCAATTGTCAAACTTTTTGGTCTGATGATTTTTTTCAGGGGTTCCCACACTTATTTGGCCTACCACTCTCTTTTAAAAAAAAATTACTTGGTGACTCCTTGGAAATCTACTTTCTTTAACCCTTTAATTTTTTTTTAAATTTGTGTCATTTCAAAGAAATATACTACATATATATATATATATATATATATTTAAATGACACATCTGAAATTTAATAATTTATTTTAAATTTGTGGGTTTTTTCCTGCATTGAAATTTTGATGACATAATATTGCATTATGTAACTGTATAGTATCGTATTATAAACAAGTAATTGCACACAAACATATTCCTGCCAAAGCATGATGAACTTCCCAACAATATGTTACGCGCTCACCTGCCAACACTTGCCTGTTAAGACCTGTCAGCGGGCTTGGCCATTAATAGGTTATAACTTGCATTTTGTGTGTTTATTTGAAAAATAATGTAATCATTATGACTTTAATTCTGTTACACAACAGATGAAACATGTATGAACGGTTTTTCAAAATTATCTTCTTTCCTTATGCTTCCACTGCCCCCTTATTTTTATTCCACACTCCCCAATTATACCCGAGGCTACTACCACCTCCCTGAATCATTCCAGCACCCCCAGGGGTTCTTCCACTTTGGGAACCTGTGGTTTACACTCTGACCTTGTTCCAGATCTGTCTTAATGCCCAGTATCACATAGCTAGTAAGTGTTAGAAGCAGTTTTCAAACTCTGGTCTTCCCGGTTCCAGGTGCTACACTCCAAGGACTGGGCCACCTAGCTGCCTATTGCTGAGCAAATAGTGTTTAATCTAATATCTGTTTTAATGCAACTAGGATCATAATAGGCTTTTTTGGCTGTCACGTCACACTGGTGACTCATCTTGAGGTTGTAGTCCCTTAAAACCACAAGATCTTTTTTCACGTGACCTCCACTCTAGCTATATTTCTTTCCAATTTCTTGTGATGCTAATTTTTGGGACCCATGTATGAGATTTTATATTAATCTCTATTTATTAAATTTCAGCTTATTAGATTATGTGTTCTTTTAATATTATTAGGGAACCTGATTGGTATTTAAAAAAATATATTAACCTACTCTTCTCTGGTAGGGTAAGACCACAAGATTACTTGTTGCAACATGATGCTAAGCAGATGATTTAATTAAGCAATCGATAAGCATTGATTACTATGTATCATTATTAATAATTGGTCAGTCAATTTATTGAGCACCTACTTTATGCCTGGAACTGTGCTAAGTGCTGGGCTTACAAAGAAAGGTAAAAGAGTCCCAGTTCTAGCAGCTCACAGTCTAATGGGGGAGACCACATGCAAACAACTATGTCATAAGGGATAAATTTGAAATAATCAACAGAGTTAATAAGCAGTATTATTACTATCATAGGTAATTAATAAGCATTATTAATTAATCAATCGGCAGTTAAGTGACACAGTTGGTAGAACAGAAGACCTGGAGTCAGGAGACCTGAGTTCAAATTTTGCTTCGGACACAAG